GAATTATTTTACGAAAAAAAAAACATGGAGCGAATGGTAGTACAGAGCATGCCGCTCGTTGTTGACGCCGTTTCGGCTAATAATGGCCTGAGTGTCTCAAGGAAGCTGCTTCTGCTGAGAAAAGCAAGCAGCAGTAAAGCCACAACTTAGATTATGAGCAAGGGGTTTCGACTGGAGAGTAGACTATCCTGTCTAGCGTATTCTGCTAAATCTTCTATCCTTCTGAGTCAACAACTCAAGACGGTTTAAGGTTTTCCAGACTGTTCTCCTATTTTTCTTCTTGGCTACTGGGTAACTTTTGATTCTTTTAGTTCGTAGAATTTTGGTTCAATAACATGGCACTCACATGGAGAATATCGGCGTGCTCACTGATTGTATCAATCCGTTCTACAGTGTGCACATTGCTATTCCATGTCGGCGTATTTTCCACCTGGAAATAAAGCAGGAGTATTTATACAAATCGTGGTCATCTATCTGTTGAAAAGCAGCAAGGAAGCAATAACCAGGCACAAAACAAAGACGGGAATAAAAACGCGATCAACAAGCCGTAGCAATGAACATTATGAGCAGTTCGGATGTGCGCAACGATTGCTGGAGAACCTCATGCTCCAATCCAGCCAGTAGGAGCAGTGGTGCGAGGGCCGTACTAGGTGCGATTGCCCTAACAAGGGTATAAGCGTCGTTTCTGCCAACAAATGGCGCAGAGCGCTAGACAAGAAGCACCTCTTAACAAAACACCCCAGACGTTTATGAGACGCGCCTTCAAATAATCACGTTTTCTTCTCCGACTCACTGCTCCGCTATGTATTGGGTCAGCCCATAAGTAACGGCGTTTTTTTCTCACAAATATTGCGCTAAAGGTGAATAGTTTTGCCATGGAGTTTCACACCATTTTGTAGAGGATTCCTTACCCTATAACATGTTCCCTTTAGTTTTTTCGAAGTTTTCGTTATCGCGAATGTTCAAGTGCTCAAACTGGAGTGTGAGGTCGACAAATTGGAGTATTTTTGACACCCTGTCTTTTTTACCTCTAATTAAAAAGCTAAGACCGCTAAAGCTAAGCTAAGGCCCAGTTGCTAAGTAAATGGTCAATAGGCTATGCCTTTTAGGAATGCTTACAACGGTTTAAGTTGTTCGAAGATTTCAGTTTCGCCCTCACAGGCAAGAATCGAACCTAATGCCTTAATGAGTCTTCCACACAGTCCATTTCCACAAACGGAGAGCTTCATGGGACTTTGCCTTACTTCAGAAGATTCATACAAAAAGGACGCACTCGCGGAAACTGTTACGTCATGAATGCTGCCACTCACTTACCAAGATTTCCTCAGTTGATGTTAGACGAATCGAAAGTGTGGGGTCAGGCTCTCACTCCGGCGTCGCTCTAAGACGCCCGATTGCGATTCACTTATTTACAAGACCCAAATCCCACTCTTGATTCGCTTGAACCTACTTTCAGATGACATCAGATAGCATCATTATGGATTGGTATGTCAGAACTTTTGAGCTTTTCTGTAATTTGCGAAGCATAATTAAAATTAAAACTTTTGTAGGCAAACACATTGGTGTCGACCACATCACAAACTTCAGAGGGGGCGACAGAAATCGGGAGTATTTGGAAGGCCATCACACTCATAGAGCGAAGAATATCGACTATCAAACAGCCCCGTAATCATTGTGAACAATTAGCCATTTCCCACATAAAATGCATGTAAAAAGAAACGCATGTTCTATCCAATACTTATAGTTAAACTGTTATCAAACTTGGATCCATCTCGCTTTCAGATCGTTGCTACTGACTACGGATTGGGTTTTTCGATCACATTCTCTTCCACGTTTGAGTGCTCACAGCTGGCAGCTAATTCTCACCACACACTTTTCCTCCTCCATTCATGCATTTCATTTAGGATGCGAGATTTTTGGGCTATTTTACCATTTGAGACAACTCTCGTCCTTGGAACAAGCATGTGATATGATTGTATCGGACGAGCAGTATTCCACAAAAAGGTGAACTACGCAACCTCGCTCAACCCATCTCCGGGATGTGAAGTGTAGCTGCAATAAGTATCGTCGCGATCAGTCGGGGAGGTATCCAGAAGGACGGACTGAGATCACCTGTGGCTTTGCCACCACCAATGGTTTTCTTCGTAAATTGACATTACTATTGGTAGAGCGAGGCAGCCGGAGCCGACTCATCCCGCCCTCCTGACACCGCCTCCGACTGACCGCAATGCTATCAACTAGACGTATTCATGCATGAGACTTCGAATTTCACTAAGGTAACTGCGCAAGAAATCCCAGTATAGAGCACGTGCTGGCGGTCCTGACGCTAAGAAAAATTTCTGCCAAATATGATCCATCAAACATTCTCTTCCAGTTCTTGTTCTTCAACCAACCAGTTCCCAAAATTTCACATCCGATCAACTGTCAGAAACAGCGTGAAGAGGCATGTGTAGCGCTCGGAAAATGGAAAAATCGACAGTTAAGAAACATTTTTCCTGGTTAAATGCGAACCTCTTCTGGAACTGGCACTATTAGACATTAGCACTGGCAGAGCCTCCAGCCCTTCCGAAAAATGCGCCGTCATAGAGATCAGCGGATTCAATATGAACATCCCCACTGTACACACAGCAAACTGCGTAAGAAAATAAAAGAAATCATGAAAAGTTGCTCAGAGAGCTTAGCAAAATTTTGCCTTACATCGTTCCAGTGTGATCTGAACACCGTCTCAGCATCGGCATTGAACGATTTCTGAAATTAAATGTTCACTATTTGGCAATCTGGAGAGATGAATATTCTAGCAAAGGTCAACTATAGCCTCGTCGAGAGGTGAAGATGAACGGAACTCAAACTGTACGTTACGAACCTTCAGATAGTAGACTTTTCCAATTGGAAAGTGCTTGTTGAAACATTTGTCGCCTTTATGTTCTGCTTTCTCTTTCCAGTCCTTGCGATCGGCTCGTTTAGCGTCGTCGAATACCTTTAGGGCTTCTACGAACGCATTTGCAGTACTGCGTAAGCCGATTCCATACTGAAACTCCATGAGTTGGACTTAAAGATGTATACAACAATCCTATTTCGCTGTGAGCATCCATGGTACCTGCACATCTATGTATATGGGCTTTGAAGTATTTACTCACCTCATTAAAGGCATAAATTAAGAATTTGATACTCGATCTAATATGGTAGCTGGCGAAAATGGCGAAAAAGCGGATCGAAATAGTCAAAAATCTCAAACAAAGCCTTTCTTCACCAAGACTCAGGAAGCGATTTCGGACGAGTTTCCCGTTGGCATCTCTTTCGCTTCAAATCGTAAATAAAGCGATACGAGCATCAGCATCTGTCGGCCATTTGTGGGTGGGCGGGTCGGTATGTTGCAGCTTGATAGTGCGCCATAAATGTGCTTTCTTTAGAAAAGCTGCCAGGTAGGGCCTGCTCAGGGGCGCCGAATTTTGTCCTGCTAGGGGGTTATCCTAAGCATCTTGGGGATTTGTCGTGCCACATGCCTTTAAATAATTCTTACTGTACTGAAAGCCATCGAACCGGATTCTGTCTGGCTAAAGAGTAATGAGCACATTGACCATAACCTTCCTTTTTGTCCAACTGGATTCGATTGCCTTTAGACCCTTTCACATTTCTTCCACCTCTAAGCTGGGCGGTTCAATGCACTGGTGATGAGACTACAGTCGATATCGTCGCAATCAGTCACGGCAATCTCAAGAGGGACGAATTCCGCGTTTTCACTGGCTGTTTTCCATCGAAGTCGGTCACCAGCTTATCGATATTTTCAGAGCTACCGTAGGCGTACACGGTCCTCCCACTTCCCTGCTCTTGACACCGCCTCGACTATATGTGACGTTATGAACTATACCTCCTTCTGAATCTTTTGAGCATCCTTTTTCTATAAATGAAAAGATTAAGATTTGGTATGGTATTAGAAGATCATACGGGCTCAGCCTGCTCACCGGAAGAGCTTCCCAAAGGAATTGTCTATCTCATTTCCTCCCTTCACAGACGAGCCGCGCCATGCAGACACGCCTCAATTCCCAAATATAAGAAGAAGCGGGATCAGGGATGTTAGAGGACAGAGTTCCGCGGAAAAGAATTAATTGTAGTTGTAGAAGGAGTTACAGAATGGTTCTGCATTAAGCCGCTAGAAACCTCGTTGGTAGCAGAGCTGAGAACTAAACGTCTGTACGTTAGTCGACTTGCATGTGAAGGAAAAAGCGGACAAAAACCAAAAGTAAAAGCTAATCAAAGTAAATGTAGCATTGTCATTCCCTACACTCTTCTTCTATTTTTAGTAGCATCGGAGGAATATTAGGTTTGTTCCTGGCAGAAGTGGATCTGATGTGAGCCTTAACCTTCAGAACGTCCTCGTGGTGAGATACGTCACTTGCCACCTAAACCACTTCGTCCCAGATAGTGAAGTATGTTCTGATGAAGCAAGAACCAATGAGGTATGCCTCACGAACTTCCGGTTTTCTAGTCCTTGAATCAGAAACGGTCATTAATCTAAATTGAGTCTCTCATCGCTTTCGAATTTCCAAGAGAAGAGCACAAAAAGCCCCTCCCCCCCTCCCCAATACCACTGCATCATCAATGATTACTGGAGAACAAGGAGAACAACGAGATGACAATTATTTCCTTTGATTTCTCACGAACGAATGGAGTTTCACAAACAAGTGAAATTTGAAATGCTAACTGACCTGACTATTTGGGGTCGTGTCCTCGATTTCTAGTAATTTCACAGTGGTGGACATCTGGAAGCAGAAAAAAATTCTTTTTTTATTGCAAGGTTACGAAACTCAATGAGAGCGATCTTGGAGGAGCCACGAAAAAATGCGCCTAGCTTTAAAGGCACGTATGGGCATTGGGCGGAGAAAGGCCTACCACTGCATTCTTTACGGGCGTTTCTTCCACTTTCAGACGGTGAAAAATATGGATGCGTCAATGGGAAAGACACTGAAAGGCCTGTCTCCACCTATTGTATGACCACAACGAGCCTTTAGTACAACTTACAATGACATATACGCGATGCAAGACATAAAGATTAAATATATACACATATGGTATGCGCTCAAAATGAAAAAAATGATGAAAAAATGTGAATGATCTGCCTTCAAAGGCAGTTGGCACGATAAATCCTCTACGACCCTGAGCAGGTATTGCGTAGCGCCTTCCAAGGGAAGTACCCTTATGAGGGCCCTATCAAGGGACAACCAACCGAACCGAAGGCTCAATAAGCCCACCCGCCCACAAATGGACGACCGATGTTGATGCTCGTATTGCTTCATTTGCTAAGTAAAATATGAAGCGAAGGGATTGGTATGAAGCGGCTGCGGTGCTGCATGGATATATGAGTACATACATGCAGCCGTACCCACCGTAGCGGTTATTGGCAAGATGTCTACGGGAACTCGTCCGAAATTGCTTTTTGAACCTTCCGAAATTGCTTT